ATTGCCAGGCGGCTGCTGATGAGCATGGTCATCTCATGGCGGCTTTGTTACGCTGCTGCGACAGTGCAACACACCCGTTTGCCCCTGAGGCTGTGCACGGGTCTTCGGGCGCCGACTTGCAAGAGAGCAGCCACCCGACAACCCCAAACCAATAAGCTCCCCCCCCCCCGATAATAGGGGCCAAGCAAAATTTGGGGGGGGGGTGTCAAAGAAATAAGACCCTGACTTATTTTCGAGGAAACACAGTAGACTTGGGGTGTTGCATGACAGTGCTTGGCTGTTTGAATTTTAAACTCCAAAAGTGCTTTAGCTTCTTCATTTTGTATTATTTTGTCTATTTTGTGGTCCCACCAGTTCTTGCTTGCAGGCAAATGGTATTTCTTGCAGATATGCCCAGTACACCATTATTGCCACTTTGTCATGCGGTTATTTATCGTCAGTCCATATGATCATCTTCCAGAGAATTAGACCACAATTGAGCCCAACGTTTCTGTTGTTAAGTGAGTTTTGCCCCATTTTATTACCTTTCTTGCCACAGTTGTTAATTGAAGCACTGCAGTTTTTAATTTAGTAACACGGTTGTTAAGTGAATCTGGCTTCTCCTTTGTCTTTGTCAGAAGGTTGGAAAGGGGAATCACATGATCCCAAGACACTGCAACTGTCATAAATATGAACCAGTTGCCAAGCATCTGGATTTTGATCATGGTTATTGTCATACATCACTATTCTCAGTGCCACTCTAATTTTGAATGCTACAGGACTACCTGTAATTCTATTTCTTCAGATTTTTTGCAGAGGTATCTGGTGTCTTTTCAATTCTGGTTTTGGATGCAGGTGGGTGGAGGAAAGAAACAAGGGTCAATGAAAGAAGCCAATAAAATCCAAAAATAGAAGTTAAGGAGGGTTACTATCTATATATGTACTCAAGAGAGTTGAAACTTATTAGAGGTAATAGCCAATATATCAGATAGATAAGTAAAATAAGAGGGTTAAAAAAGGTGAAACTCAAATGAAATGTATTACAAGGGGAAATAACATCAGGAGAATTGTACCGATTTGAAACTGCTGTAAGAAGGAACAGGAAGTTCCAATGTGTTGTGTAAATGTAGTTTATGTCTAAGTTTTCTTTGTGTGTATTTGTATGTTTGAACATTTAAAAAATTAATTATATAATATTAAAAAAAATTACCCTGCCTCTTTTTCAATTTTCCTGGTCTCAGCCAGTCAGGACTTGTTATCTGATTTTTTTTTCAATGTCCTGGCCATGTAATACTTTGCCTTGCCATGTCTCTGTATTATTCTTCATTTTGGTCTTTTATTCAGGCCAGTCTGGTCTTATTCAGCAAGCCTTCATAGTGTGCTGTACTACAGTGCATCACAAAGGTGCACCTCCTTCACTTCCTTCCAATGCCCTTTCTTCTTCTTCTTCTTCAGCTATCTAGTGTATATATTTTTTTTCAGCTATCTGGTATATTTGCAATATTCCAGGTCCACGCAGAGGTGGTATTCAGCAGGTTCTGACCAGTTCTGGAGAACCCGTAGTGGAAATTTTGAGTAGTTTGGAGAACCGGTAAATATCACCTTTGACTGGCCCTACTTCCATCTATTCTCTGCCTCCAGAGTCCCAGCTGATCAGGAGGGAATGGGGATTTTACAGTATCCTTCCCCTGCCATGCCCACCAAGCCATGCCCACCAAGCCACACCTACATAACTGGTAGTAAAAAGAAATTGAATCCCACCACTGAGGTCCACCTATGCTTCTTGTTTGTTAACATCAATGCATGGAAGAAGGCATGATTCATTGCCATTATTTTTCTGGTCTTCCTGTCCAGGCCTTTTACTTCAGGTTGAGCCCAGTCCATTATTTCAGCTTTATACCTAGTGCAACATTATTCTGTTGTTTCTATGCTGTTCTAAATACTCAGTTATTCTTTCAGTTCCTCTTGTGTGTAAATGAGAGGATAAGGCTAAGAGGAGGGTGCTTGATTTAGAAATAATAATTAAATAGCAAGGCTGGCTTCTTCTACAACCAATTCCTCCTGCTCTGTCTCTTGAGGTACTTCTGGCAAGGCTTCAATTACTTTGTCCTGGATATTCATAGAAACCAACAGGAATTTATTAAGAACTAATCACACAAAATTACATAAAAGAAACCATCACTTTTTAGAGCATAAGTTAGGTTATCAGTATAATGCATTAAGCATAGTATACCTTAATTTCAGCAAAATAGAAGTGCCTATGACAGTGATGGGTAACCTTTTTGGTGCCGAGTGCACCTGTGCACGCGTGCACACAACTCCAAAATATAATGTGAGGGGCCCCTGAGCATGCATCCTTCTCCCACACATGCAACCCGCCCCTGCATATACGTGCATGCCCCTCGTGCATGCAACCCGCCCTCCCTCACCCACTTTTGGTGTCTAAGTTGATACAAACCTTCCAGGCCCAAAATGGGATGCATAGGGTGCCCGCACGTGCACTCACAAAATGTGAGTGCCTCCCACGCATGCACCCTGCTCCCCACACATGCACAGCAGAGACCCGAAGACCAGCTGGCCGCTGGGAGCGGCACACACATGCACAGTGGAACTGGGCTGTGGTAACGGCTGCCATGCCCACAGAGAGGGCTCTCTGTGCCACCTGTGGCACCCATGCCATAGGTGCGCCATCACGGTCCTATGAAATCCTAGTAAACAAGATGTAAAATGTGGGCTGGACTCATATCGAATATCAAACTTGTTGAACGATTGTGTCTAGTATATCTATCCAGGCTCCAGGTCAAGCGGAACAAAGATGCCAAGTGATTTTGATTATGATCCTGTTATAGGTCTTGTATTCTTCCTTGTATTTGGATGAGCAGTAAGAAAAAGATTATCAGATTTATGTATGATATAGAAATGGCAGGGCGAGGGGAACACAGTAAATTCCTTAGAACAGGGGTGTCAAACTCGTGGTGTCACATTGTCATCACCTGGTGTATTGTGACTTTTTTTCCCTTCACTAAACCAGAGGTGGCCTTGGCCAGTGCGTGATGCATGTGGCCCGTGGGCCCGCAGTAAGTTTGATAGCCCTGCCTTAAAGGAAAGTATCAATATTCCAGGGCTTTTGACAAATTCAAAGGACAGAAAACAATTATATTAATTTCACTACAAGTGTAATGTCTATTTAGCTAGAAAAAAAAATCAAAAGTGTCTTGATGGATCACAAGCTGAACGTGAGCCATCAATGCAATAGGGCTATACAAAATACAATCCCAGGTTACATAAACAAAAAAAACAGTATCAAGATCAAGATAAGTCATTGTTCTTCTCTATTTCTGTGTTATTCAGACCATATATAGAATACTTGGGAAACAGAATTTTAGGAAGGATGTACCTAATCTGGACCATATTCTTGGGAAAACTATGATAAAGCTTTGGAATTAAAAAAAACAACACCTCTTGATGTGTTGCAGATACCATAATAATTAGATAATTGTAGGTTCATTAGGTTGGAGTTAATCAGTTAATCAAAATAATGAATATATTTGTGCCTTCAGATCAGTGTTAATATCTGATGACTGCAGCTGTTTTGGCAGGTTTTTTTGGGGGGGGGGCATGTTTTGCCATTCCTCTTTTCTAGGACTGAGGGAGCAACTGTCCCAAGTTCACCCTGCTGGCTTTGTGCCTAAGGTGGGACCTAGCACCTCTTAACCACTACTATACCAAACTGGATCTTTAGCAAAAAGATATTTAATAAATATCAGTAAAATGCAGCTCCTTATTTAAGACAGACCAACTGAACTCAAGGATGTACTTCTCAATTAGTATGAGTGGTGGCTCATTGGCTAAGATGCTGAGCTTGTTGATCAGAAAGGTCGGCAGTTCGGATCCCTAGTGCCACCTAACAGAGTGATCCCCCATTACTTGTCCCAGCTTTTGCCAACCTAGCAGTTCAAAAGCATGTAAAAATGCAAGTAGAGAAATAGGGACCATCTTTGGTGGGAAACAGTGTTCCAAGTGCTTTTGGCGTTTAGTCATGTTTAGTCTTCCCACAGCACTGGATTTTCGACTTTGAAATGGAGATGAGCACCGCCCCCTAGAGTTGGGAATGACTAGCGCATATGTGTGAGGGGAACCTTTACCTTTACTGTTTCTAAAGATATTTTTAAAAATAAAATGGAGCATAGTTTGGTACTCAACCTCCTCCCCTTTTCAATAAAAAATCAATATACTGGTCCCAATAAAACAAGAGATGATAATTAAAATGACTAAAACCTAGCTTGTGAAGCGCTACCAACTATTTATGGCTACGGTTTTAAAAAGTCTTCATTTGCACATTATTTCCAGTGCAGTTTGTGTTTCCTAAAACCTAAGCAAGGTTACAACCTGATTTAGTATTTGGAATCCTCGGGCTGCAAGTTACCTTGGTAAATCGGAACACGAGACATTCACCCTGCAAATGCAGACGTTTTATTAAGAGAAAGCAGAAATTACATGAAAACACGCAGGCTTAGGTAATGCGGACGGTTATTATCGCTTTAATACTATTCTAAAACGTAACACACGCTGCGTTTTAATAGAAATTCCTCCTATTCCGATAAGCTGAACAATAAAATTACCTAAAAGTCTTGTGGGTTGCTTTGGCCAAAGAGGGGGGGTATTTAAAAGTACTATACAGCACTATTTTATATTTATAGTGCAATACAGAGGTCTTCAAACTTGGCAACTTTTAAGACTTATGGACTTCAATTCCCAGAATACTCCAGCTATGCTGGCTGGAGAATTCTGGGAGTTGAAGTCCACAAGTCTTAAAGTTGCCAAGTTTGGGGACGCCTGGTGTAATATCACGGCTGTAAACCCCTGACGCAGAAAGAAAGCGGCCGTTAACTCTCGTCATCCGACTTTACATCTGAAGGGAAATCCTTTTCCCTCCTCCGGAGGAAATATGGGAGCGCCCGCCTTTCCTCTCCCTGGGAGCTGAACGAAGCGACGTAACCGCACTTCCGGTTTCTTACGTTCCACGTTTCAACTTTAACCTTTCCCCGCTGCCGCCTTCTTTCTCTTCCGGTGCAAGCTTCGGCTTCAGGTTGGTTCTCTTTCTGGGGTGGAGGGTTGATTTTAATCGGTTTCCATCCGTTGTGTAGAAAAATTGGGTGAGCTCAAAGGTTTGCCGTGACGCGGTTGGGAGCCTGGTGGGAAGAATGGAGGGCGTGTGGGTTGCGGTAAATGGAAGAAATAGGCGAGGAGGAGGCCGCGATGGCGATCGCAGGAAGGAGGCCTCTCGGCCTGCTCTTGGACTAATAAAGCCTTCTCGAAACCTGCCCGGAGTTATACGAGATCTTGAGTCTCCAGCGGCTCAGCTACGCTGCTTGTTTCATGGGCACAGCACTGAGCAGTTTGCAGCATTTCTGCAGTAAATTTAAACCTTTTAGTATTGTGACATCATGCAAATACATTTGCCACCTGCCCAGAGATATTTTCTGATGATGTTACCTAGTTTGGGTAATGAAATGTCTGCAAGACAACAAGCAAGCTCAGAAAACACTAAGGACCCCTCAGAAATATTTTCCCCAAACCAAGTTTGTTAGGACGTGTTGGGGGGCAGGGATAAAGGAAATACTTGCATCAGGGTGTGTTTTTTTCACCCCCAATTTTCAGTTTTATTTATAATATCCTTGTGTGATAGTTATTGCTCATGACCTCATCCTTATCTCCATGTAATATCTTGGGAGGACTGTTTTGGAGATAGTGGTATGTTTGGATGTTGGTTTGGATTAGCAGAATCTGGGTTCAAGTCTTTGCTTTTCATGTAAGGGCGAAGGCTTTGAGATTTAGAGCATCAGCGTTTTTAGCAGCATACCAACTGTGACGGTCATGCTTAATAGTAGTATTGGTATAAAAATATTTTGCCCTTATGATATATTTTCTGTCCACAAGAATAAAAAAAAGTTATTTGTGCTTAATGTCAGCAGCATGACTTTTATAATCAAGAGTGCAAAAGTAGCATTCAATGTGATGAATTCTAACTCTTAGAATTCCCACACTGTAATTATCCAGAGATTATGGATACTGTATTCCAAGCCAATGGGGCATTGGAGATGGTTGGTATATGGCAAAATGTAAACAGTTGTATTCCAGCAATGATCCTTCTCACATTTCATTCACTTTCTCTTGTTTTAGGCACTGAAAATGGTCCAACGTCTGACATACCGGCGTAGGCTGTCCTACAATACAGCCTCTAACAAGACCAGGCTGTAAGTCTAATCTAGAATTCTTGCTATTGAATGTCTTTTGTTTTGAGTTTGTGACCATACTAAATATTTGTTATCTGGTTCATACAGGTCCAGGACACCTGGCAACAGGATTGTATATCTTTATACTAAGAAAGTTGGCAAGGCACCAAAGTCTGCATGCGGTGTATGCCCAGGAAGACTTCGTGGTGTGAGTATTTTTTTTTAATAAACTAGCTTTGTACAAAGACCAAGCTGTAGGACATAAGACAATTTATATGAGAAAATTAGGTTTGTATGACTCTCGATAAATAACTTAGGTTTTTTTTCATTGTGACAATCTATATTTCATATCATGAGTGGGTTTTCTTTGCTTTACATTGCTTTGTGTGTTGTTTGTGTACTATAAACATATAGTAATATATATTACTAATAAGTTTTTAGTAATTCACTTACTCTGATAACTTACTATTCACCTGACTACTTTTATGTCCCTTTCTATTGATTTGTATTTAAATAGGTATAAAATAACTTTAAATTTAGTAGCAGTTTTTAACTTTCAGAAAACAATGCTAGATCATAACATAATTGTTGAGGAGCTAAAAATACTTGGCTTGCTATAGAATTTCCTCTTTTAAGGCAGCATTTTTCTTCTCTCCAAGCTCTTTAAAAGTTCTTTAGAGAGAACATTAACTTTTGAAGTGATATGGTAAATGCAGTGGTATATTCCAGCTGCACAGATACCTATTTGTTCTGTCACATTTCTTAATTATGTTATGTGGATGCTATAAAATAATCTAGTAAAGCAACACGTAAAATATTAAAAAGCATCAAACATTAGATTACTAAAATTATGCAAACCCTAGGCATGAAAGAGAGTGAATATATCTTAATCTCAGTAATAGAGCTATCCAAATATGTCTCTGGTTCCTGCTACCCCTCCAGCCATAGTAACAAGCAGATCTTCAGGGGATAGGGAACATCATGAGGGGTGGATCCAACCTAACCTCTGGTGTGGTGGGAGAGAAAATGTTCCATGAAACAGGGACTAGGCCAGAGAAGGCCCACTTCCTGGGATCTACCAAATGATCATCCCTGACAGATGATCCTCAGCATATCTTCTCTGTCAGATGAAATGGGACAAGCTGATGTAATAATTTCATATGTATGAAACTATTATATTTGACATAATTTCAGGAAGTGTGGGTTTATCTGTTGCAAGAATATTGTTAGGAGCCAACTTAATAATATTTTAATGAACTACATAGCAAAATATATTGTGCCTACCTTAAATCTCCATTTCAGTGAATCTATTCTGAATATATTTTCTTTTTGGTATTAAACAATATAATCTTTGAAATTAAAACAATCTTATGTATTTATAATACTCATTCAGAAATCCATTGTCATATCATTATGAATGGGTGATTTATATAAGCACAAAAATTATAAGGGCTACTTTCTTTTTAATCCAGTAAATTTCAGGGGTGAGTTACAAAAAGGTGTATTTTATTTTCTACAGGTCCGCGCTGTTCGTCCAAAAGTTCTTATGAGACTTTCCAAAACAAAGAAACACGTTAGTAGAGCTTACGGAGGTTCTATGTGTGCTAAATGTGTTCGTGACAGGTAAATGATATTTTGAGTACAATTTTGCTGAAATTTACTGGTTCATTTGAATGTATTCCAATTACATATACTATAGTTTGTTGTCTGACAGTTATCCACAAAACTATAAATGAGAACATAGTTTAGAATAGTCACCTACTTTAGAATAGTTTTAACTTAAGGCATGTTGATGTAAAGTTAATTGAAATGTTCAAAATAACCTATAGAGCTCTATCCATCTACCTTGCTTTATTTTACCTTTCCATTAACAGTTGGAATATTATTTAAATTATTATTTTTTTTAAATTATTTTATTAACATTTGTAGGCCGCCCTTTTCCCTGAGGGGACTCAGGGTG